AATTCTTTTCTTTTGGCCAGTGACATGGATTAATTCTTCAATTGCACATTATGTGATGCATATTAAATAGGCACCAAGACAGCCTGATAAGCAGATCTCTGAAATGGTGGACGAGTCAGTGAGACTTGCAAGAGCTTTCTGTGACAGAAAATGGCCTGTCTTTGCTAGTCTTGATTCTCATCACCCTGACATTCCTGAGCCTCCTTATCCTCCTCATTGCATTGCTGGAACTGATGAAGGAAAGATAGTCCCAGGTACCCTTTGTTCTTAGCTTCTTGTGTTTTCCATTCCCTAGTGGCTCTCCTCTAATTACACAATCATCTGCAGCCCTGCAATGGTTGGAGAATGAAGCTAATGTGACACTTAGGCGTAAAGATTGCATTGACGGGTTCCTTGGTTCCGCTGAGAAAGATGGCTCTAATGTTTTTATCAATTGGGTGCAAAGTAATCAGATCAAAGCTGAAAGCATTTCCTAAACCCCAAATACTGCCAATTGCTTGAAATTAATTCTGTTGTTGTCTAATTTTCCCATTTATTTTTATTTTCCTTGTGTTCCAAGATATTGTTCGTAGGGATACGCACAGATATATGTGTCCTAGATTTTGTGTGTACCACTTTGTCTGCAAGAAATAGAGGTTTCCTTGTCCCTCTGGGGGATGTGATTGTGTATTCCTGTGATTGCGCCACTTTTGATATTCCTACCAACACTTACAAAGATGTTGTAGCTCATCCCCAGGTACTTCAAAATTCTAATGAAATCTTTGTATGGCTAGTAGTTGTCTTGTTCTGATTTTCTTTTCTTTATTCCCTTTTGACATTGCATAAAATTCAAATGGAAAAATTATTGTATGGTATCACGTGGTCTAATGACGACATGATTGAGGATTATTCCTTTTACACTAACTCACCTAATAAACATATTTTCCAGTACTTCTATCAATACTCTTCATTCATTTGACTCTTATGTCATATTTTCTTTAACAACACCAAAAGTTTAAGATAAGAAAAACAAATGGTTCAACAGATTATTGATTTGTTAGAGGAGGAGCTGCCAGTGTTCCAAACGTCTCTAGTACTCAAGGGGATGTCAAGATCGGCCTTGTCCTCGTTGACATTGTTAATGGCTTCTGTACCGTCGGTGCTGGAAATTTGGTATATAAGATTGATGGATTTATGTACCACATCAGTTTTCAAAATTTGGTTCTAAGTTTAATACTTTTCTTTTGTCAGTGACATAGGTTAACACTGCAATTGTGCATTTTGAGATGCAGATTAAATAGGCACCAACATTTCCAAAGATGCAAGAAATCGAGGTTTCCTTGTCCCTATGGAGGATGTGATTGTGTACTCCCGTGGTTGCGCCACTTTTGATATTCCCGTTGAAGTTGCCACCACTTCCAAAGATGAAGCTCATCCCCAGGTACTTCAAAATTCTAATCAAATCTATGTGCTACAGTAATTGTCTTGTTCTGATTTTCTTTTATTTTTTCCCTCTTGACATGACATATATAAAATTCAAATGGAGAAATTATTGAATGGTATCACGTGGACTAATATGATTAGATAACATGGTTTATATTTCTCACTTTTAGCTAGGCCTCATCAATGGGCAAGGCCGGGCTAGCCCGGCCTAAATTTAATGGGCTTGGGCCAGATCGGGCCGGGCTTTAAAGAGGAGAGAGAAAATAACGGCCCGGATTTTTTTAAAAATTCAAAGCCCAAGCCTAG